TAAAACCCCTCTGAATAGATGTGATTTTAAGAGGATCAATACATCTATATATAATATGTGACCACAGACCTCATAATTTTAAACTCAAGTTAAAACTATTTTTTTAAAGAAGGATCATTAATGTAGTAATTAATAATAAATCAGGTGATTTTGCACAGGTAGTACACAAGGGCGTTACCCTGTACCTTCGTCCTGATGGTAATAACTCATACTCATTACAGAGAGGATGTGTTACATCGCCCTTTCCTCACCCTTCAGGACTCACCATTTGGTACAGACATTTATAGGAGGAGATCAAGTCTAATAACCTTGGTGATTCTATAACTTTTCATCTAGCACAACTTATCCAGTAAAATAGCTCAACATTTACTAGATAGATTGGCACAAACTCCTGGGACAGACATTCATGGTTACCAGAAGGTAAATCTTGATGAGCTTTCCTCTAGTAGAAACAGCAGGTTTTGTGTTTTTTTGTGAAAACTATTGGATGGATTGTCATGAAATTTAGTTCACAACCTTTCATCTAATATCATCGTCAGGGCAAAACATAAATTTGTCCATTACTTTTGTTTATGACTAAATACCTGGAGAATGTATTCTACCAGTTTGTTTGTTATGTTTATTAGCAAATGCTAGCATGCTAACATGGTGAACTGAGACGATGAAACAGATAAACATCACCTGTTAAATAAATATCAGCATGTGACCACTGACATTATGAGCATGTTAGCATGCTGATGTTAACATAGCTGTACAGCCTCACAAAGCTGTTGTTTGTGTTTCGTTGTTTTGTTTGAGGGACAGATGTTGTGAAGAAACGTAGACTTTATATGCTGTAACACGTGGCACTGGTCAATGCTGCGTTCCTATTCCCGTAAAAAGCAAACATTAACAGCCCCACTCTACTTAAAAATATGTTTTTCTTTTTATCCCTGCAGTTGGATGTTTGAGCTTCACTGTGCAGAATGATGTATGTGCAGAGTTTGAGACTAAAAGGATGATTTCACATTCATCTGCTGAAAGTGGAAAGTGTCTCTGTGCTCACTGAAAATCGGATTTTTAATGGGCCAACGAGCATCATTTGTGACATCACAAATAGTTTTGTAAGCCAGTCCTGGTCCAGTATGAAACTTACACTTACAATCACATCCACTTTTTAATGAAGTAGAAGGAGTAGAGGCCTTAGACACACATTATTGTTCCAAGCAGACTATTTGTAATTGTCGTAATACGTGTCTGGAGGGGATCTTTAAAACAAAGTAATCTTGCAAGTCCACCAAAGAAATGAAAAAAAACACTATTACAGTCAGCTTGTTTAAGTCCTTTGATTGCCACTGTTGCTTGTTGTGGTTATTTCTCTGCAACCTGTCTTCCAGACATAATCACATCTCCTGTTTTTCATTCAGCCTGTCAGCTCATTCCATTAGCTTTGTGAAGACAGGACTCACCGTGCGCCGCTCATTTCATTTCCCCTTTCATCAGCGACCTGGCGAGGCTTGAGTTCCCCAGTGCACCATTAAATAGTGGGTCTTTTTGAAGATTAATAGTGTGCTGCATTGTGTTACAGATCTAGATGGTTCTGATGGTTCCGGTAGACAGAGGCGTAAAGCAAGACAGACAGAGAGAGAGAGGAAGATCTTGATGTCTGAGGAAGGTCTTTGGTTGTTAGACGGTGATAGATGTTACAAGTCTGGAAAACTGTCTGCCTCACTTCTTCTGTTGCTGTCTGAGCCAATTTCCTTCAACTCAGTGATCCTTCAAAAACTGCACAATAGAGGACTTATCTTTAAGTAAAAAATAATATAAGGGCAGCCAATAAGTCAGCAGCTACAATAGATGTCTGGGCTCTGGAGTAATACTACAGTACACCTTTAATATTTCATATCACGGCGGAGAATAGAAGAGTTATGCGGAGCTGATGATTTACTTTATTTTACGTTATGGTTTTCATACTCTTAATGTTTTGCTATGTGTTCGTAAATAGAGTTGGCCTACATTATGGCTCCACTGCCAGTCAATTGTGCCATCACCATGGAGCTGTCACATCAATGAGGTCACGTCTCCTGTTTCCTCTGTAGGAGTGACACTGGTACAGTTTGAGGAGAAAATACACATTTACAGGATACTCTACATCCTTTAATATCCATCTACACATATACATCTATTCACAATCACACACCAATGCAACCCCTGACCCATGAATTAATAGAATGAATTTACTGAGAAAGCCCAGGATTGATTGATCAGCAGATTCCAGCTTCCAGAAGCTACAACAATATGAATAGCATTCCTGAACAGCTTCAATTATCGACGGATCTAATGATCAGCTGGTCGAGGCCTCGGTGCCTGAGCAGCCAAACACCAGCCCAGAAAACCCAGTGTGCCCCGGAGACACGGAGCTAAGACCAAAGAGGAGGAGAGAGGAAGAGGATGGCTGGCTGACTGGATGCAGTAAGTGGGACAGAGGAGCAGTCAGCGGGGGCAAATCGAGGCTAATGCACCCAGGCAGCAAGTCTTTCCTGATGTGCAAGTTCTGCCCGTCGTGTTTCTCCTCGGGCAGTGTGACCTAGGGAGCAGCAACTACCATCACATGTTGTAGCATACATCCCTGAGTCACAGCACAAAAGCCCGCAGCGGTGGGAGAGCACGGCCACGCACAGAACTCTCTCAGTGCACACAGGCGTGAAAGCAAAAACACCGAGCATCCTCAGCTTTATTCCACACAGGGCTGCAACATCCATTCATCCCACAATATCATGCTGTTTTAAAAATACTCAATAATCCCACTCATGTGATGTCTCTATGCACACTGAAGGCTGCGATATTACACGTGTCTTAATGGAAACGCAATCGGCGGGTCATATTAAATCATGCATTAAATGAAGGCCCCAGAACAGCAAAACGCATTGTTCCGGTCTAGTTGTGTTGCGCTTGTCATGCCTGGCACGGCACGGAAGAGCGCGGGGAAGGAACTGCTGCTGCTGGCCAAATGATACGAGCACAGAGAGGAGGATAAAAAAAGGAGAGGCGAGTGTCCCAGAGTGGCTGCACATCGCCTACGCCCATTCACAATGTGCGTGTTTTACTACCCAGACTCCTGCCCCCCCCATGATCCGTCAGGATTTAGTCCGTTCGTTTCCAATCTGTAGCCAGTGACTGTGATTTCACTGCGCACACGGGCAGCATGGCTCTCCACTATCCCCGCATGAGACATGTGTTGGTGAATATGTACAATGAAATCTAATTCTCATGGTGCACAAATCAGCAGGATTGTTCGGACCGTGGTTCTGTTTAGTTGCCCAATAACCTTAATTAAAGTGAGGATGGACTAAACCGCGTATCGATCGTGTATTATCGATCATAAATGCTTTATAAATGCTCCCTTAAAATAATCAATATTCATCATCGCACTGACCAGACACTAACTTTGATCAGTGGTCGCAGCCACGCCACTCAAACCAGGAGGCTTAACAAAGAAAGGGAAAAAAGAAAAAAAAAAAAAGGTCAGTCTTTTGTTGCTTCCTTTATAATATTAATCGGATTTAAATCTCTACACCGCCCCCCTCCCTCAAACAGGGACACGCGTTGGCTATATTCAACATTGTGGAGACGACCATCGGTTAAATGATTCATTAAGAGGTAAATATCAGTCCGAAACGGGCAGGAATGGATGCAAGGTGCAGGCGCGTCCGTCCACAGCCGGGCGCTCCTTCATCAGACAATAACACCGGGAAACACCGAGAACACTCACCTCGTGATGTGAAGAGGAGACAGACGGACCGGGAGTCTGGGAGGGTTGCCCCCCAAAAGATCAGCGATGCGGAGAATAAGAAAAGGGGGATGCGAGATTTGTTTCCCTTAAATATCCGCGGCGTCCTCCCCGGCCGGATGGTGATGGTGTGTGTGTGTGTGTGTGTAGGGGGGGTTGGCTATATGCTGGATGCTGTCATCGTACTGGGACTGCTCTCTGCTTAATCCTCGGCCCTGAGCTCAGAAATAACCCACCCCCCGCCCTCCTCTCTCTGTTCGCCTCTCTCTTTCCTCCCTGTCTCCTCCGCTGTCTGACTGGAGGACCCCCACCCCTCCTCCACAAGGTCAGCTACAGCCAATAATAATAATAATAATAATAATAATAATAATAATAATCCCAAACTATAATATTTTACTATGTAGAAAATCCAGTTTCCCAGCTAACTAATTTATAACATTTTGTCTTAATAAAGGTCGTTTTGACTGTAAATTGGAATAAATCTTCTTTATTTATAAGGACTATGATTTTACTCCTGATGGTGTGTTGCATAATCTTTCACCAGTTTATGACCTTGATTGAGCCCCATAATTCAAATGAACAAACAGTCCACACGCAGGGCTGAGAAACTTCCCCAGGGACCCCACAGGCCCCATATTCATTGTGTCTCAGTTCATTTCATTAATTGCATTTGTTTGGCAATCTGCACGACTAAATCCAATATATCAGCTCATGATATTATCTTATGAGGCCCTGTGTCAAAATGTACATAGGGCATACTCCAGGTTATTAACCAGTTTATTAAAAACAGGGGGAGCCCAATGCTATTTTTGCCCAAAGGCCCAAAATTCATTTAATTTTTCAGGATATTGTTTTAAGCAGACTTCTACTTATTAGCCGTAGACAGCCTGTAATGCTATATTAAAGTGGAGAGGACTATTTTAAGTGGATTTAACTTCCCAAAAGTGTGTCCACATCTGCTACATTTACAGTTTTATATCTCTTTATCAATGTGAACAGCAACATAAAGAAAACTGATCAGAGTTTTAATTTCTTTTGAATAAAATACCTTCAAAAAATAATTTTCAAATATTCAAAAAATAAAATAATATAGCTGTGCCGTGATTAACCAAATTAATTTCCAAGTTTACCAAACCGTGGTGTAAATATGGTGAAAAACGATGTCAACGTTCAGGGTGACACTTTTAAAGTTCGCCTTCTGGTGTCTCGTGCGGTTTGTCCCTCCGTGCGCACCGTCCTGCTTCGTCACTTCCGTCGTTACGCACTTTCCGGTGTAGCTGATTCCACCCATGCTCCAGAAACGGTGAATTATTACAACACGAAAGGGACAAACAAGAGCCAGAAAACCCACCGCGAAAATGTTCAAACTGGAGGGACTCGGCCCTAAAATGGACCCGGAGGAGATGAAGAAGAAGATGAGACAAGATGTCATCTCATCTTTACGAAACTTCCTTATTTACGTCGCCCTCCTCAGAGCCAGTGAGTACCTGCAGATGACATTGACGTGCAGCTCAATACTAATAACACTGACACTTCTAACTGTGTTAACTTCACTGGTGTTCAGTTTGTTTGGCCACCTGCTGCATGTTTATTCACTAAAGGAAACACCAGCACACCCGATTATAGGTTGTTTTTTTTGTTATTTAATGTGATACAGTGTCTCTTAGAGTGGGGTGCAAACATTACAGCAACATTAACCATCTTGCCCTAATCCCAGAGAGGGTGAAAGTATCTTAAAACGCACTATAAACACTGTTAAAGCCCCTGTAGTGACCTGTAGTGACCTGAGGCTGCTCAATCTCTCACTATCTTAACCCGAGAGCTAACCACCTGTCTGTGTTTACAGCTCCGTATGTGTTAAAGAAGCTGGACAGCATATGAACAGAGCTGGTCTCTTCTCCCGTCATCCACTGAGAGTTTACCACATCAGAGACACCGAGGACCATCGTCAGCAGGCGGCTGGGGCCTTCACAGCAAACCCTGTTGAGGACGGCCGTTGTCTGTCCACCACTGCACCTGAGGAAACCCCTCGTTCTCATTTATAGTCTGCCTTTTTCTTTGTTAAACATGTTGTGATAATTGTTGAATGCAAAGTTTGATAGTGTGTACACTGTATGCCTGCCATGTGCACACAATAAAGGGGAAAACCGTGTTTGTTTGTTTGTTTGTTTATTACATAGTAGGTGTGCTCAGTCCTGCACACATGTTGAAATGGAAGCTGTTAAACTGCATTGGAGGTTTTACAGTAACACACCAAACATGTTCACTGCAAGGTTTGTGAGCATGTTCATCGATGAGTTTTAATGTAATCATGAAAATAAAACGAGAACAAAGAAAGGAATGGGAAGTGTCGCACTGTGTTTAATTTTGGTAACATCTGAGACTGAAGCCGTCTGTGTTTGACTTCAGAATTGGCCTTAAAATGTTTCACCTGTGTCTTCATATATTTACAGCGTATGCCTCAGTGCTTAAAGATACAGAAAGGTTTTTCTGTATTAATTTAAGAGACCGACACAATCAGCTCCGGTTGGGACTAAAATCACATATATAAAGTCTTAAATTGAATCTGCTACCAGAGTAATTAGAGCAATCAAGACCACTGACTAAAAATATATTGCAAACATTCCTCAAACATCAATTATTTGACACTTAGTGTTTGTTTGTTTTTTTAAATCAAAATTTAAACTGGTTGACATTTACCTCGAATGCTAAAATAAACATGACTTGCAGTGTGCAGTAACCATTGTAAGATCACAATTTATTTAATAAGATTTAACAAAGTTTGACAAAAGCTGAAGTGAAATTCAACATAGACGCACTCACTGATATCACCACCTGGTGGCGGTGTTGTTTTATTCTGAAAGTCGAAGAGACGACAAGTGATGGAGGCGCCGACTCTGGATGCTAAACCGGGCTGCTCGCTCTGAATCAGTAACATTAGGAACAACTACGAGAACTACATATAAATGCTATATTATATTATATTATATTACATTATATTAGAGCTGCGGCGGTAGGAGGGGGACCAGCAGTGCAGATATCGAGGCTGTTCTCGGAGACAAAGCTTGAGACCGCGCCGCATCCTTCCGTGTTATTGTTGGACCCGGCCCGCCCATACTCCAGAGCATCTCCAGGAAACCCGGCTACAGACAGACAATACAGAGCTATTATACATCACAATGGAGGTAGGCTGTGATATGTCCGGTCAGTCTGATGCTGTTTTCTGCAGATGAGCTCTGGATAACGAGAAGCTGTCCCTGAGCAGCTGGACTTTTCTTTCACAATGACCTTGGTTGTGTGGTTTTATTTCCAGCAGCACGAAGGTCGTTAGGAAATAATACCTGTAATAAAAAACAATAATCAACTCCACCACCTATTATGGACTTTCCAGGTCATTTCCAGCATATTTTCAAGCAGCTCAACCACCAGCGCCTCCATGCTCAGCTGTGTGACTGTGTGGTGGTGGTTGGATGCCAGAGCTTCCAGGCTCACCGCTCCATCCTGGCAGCATGCAGCTCCCACTTCAGGGCTCTGCTGAGCTCTAATGACAGCGGTGAAGAGGCTGGAGCTGACATAAGTGGAGGCGGAGGCCCCAGTGTGATGCAGCTGGATCCAGAGGTGGTGACCCCAGAGGCCTTCTCCACCTTGCTGGACATGATTTACACCTCCACCCTCTCTCTTGGGGCCTCCAATGTGATGGATGTACTGTTGGCGGCATCGCACCTGCACCTCAACACTGTGGTCAAGGCCTGCAAGCTCCATCTGTCCAGGAAAAACTTCCCAGCGTCGCCGCCTAAAGGCTGGAGGTCAGTGCAGCAGCAGCAGCTGTGTCCATCCTCCCAGGCAGAGGGGTCAGTCACATCTGTCATGGAGGAGGACATTCGCGAGGAGGAAGTGGGAGTGGAGGTTAGTCAGTCTGGTGGGGTTGAAGACGACGGGTCGAGGGGGAAAAACGGTGGCGAGCAGAGCGCGGCGCCCTTTTTGAGGCACAAGAGAAAGTCACACGAGGACAGGCCCAGTGGCAGGAAGAGGTCCTGCAGGCTGCCTGAGGAAAACTATAAAGAGTGTTCACCTACTGTAACCAGAAGCACCGTCAGTATGGAGGAGGGAGGGGAGGAGCTGCTGTCTCCGGACTGCCTGAAGACGGCCGACGGGCTCTGGGAGGGCCGAGGTGAGGAAAAGGAGGAGGAGGTGGAGAAGAAATATGAAGCAACCAAGGGCGAGTCGGAGGAGATCCAGCTCCCGAGCCAGTCGGACAGCAGCATGGGAGGTGTGGGTGTGTGGGAGAAGGGCGGAGATACAGATGGAGACACGGTGGTCAAAGTTAAGGTGGGAGAAGAAGGGGAGGACGATGGAGAGGAGCCGAAGATGGCGGTGATTGAGGTGAAAAAGGAAAATCTGAGCTCATACTCCCCAGATTTGGAAACGGTACCAAACAATTCTCCCCCATGTCCACTACGAGACTGCACAGACCATTTGGATACGCAACTAAATGACGAGAAAATGTCCACAGCCTGTCCAGCAGAGGACGACGTGAGCTCTTTGCAATCTCAGCTGTGCACAGATCTTCAAACCGATGCACAGAGAGAGCCTGGAGACTTGGGCGAGGACTCAGTAGACGGTGAAGGCCTGGACAGCCTATCAGAGCTGGCCTTTTCCTGCTTCCTCAATCCCAGTAGTGACAGTGTAATGGGAGCTCTGGAGGAAGAAGACAGCCTAGCCAGCCTCACTGCTGCTGCCACTGCTGCCGCCGCCGCCAGTGATGCCCCTGCGGCTGCTGGAGACGAGCCGTGTCAAAACTCAGAAGCTCAATCTTCTGATTCCTCCTCGCTTGTTTTCCCAGTAACATCCGTCCCCTTGCAGCAGCTTCTCCCAACTCAGGGTCCTGGTTTTAACGACACACTCATCCTCCAGACCACCCAGAACTCTTTAGCGGAGTTCCTGAGGGGCATCAGACCGGGCCTCAGTTTGGAAACCCCGGTAATGCAACCCTCCAGGGGTGGGAAAAGCTCGGGGCCAACAACCTTCCGTCGCATCGCCCCCAAAGTGCCGCCTGGATCAGACGCCGGCACAGACGGTTCCTCTGCATCAACTGGGGATGCTGCTGATCGGCCGCCCCTAACCAGAGCTTCAGAGGACGTTCTCTCTAAGTGCAAGAAAGCAGCTGCCGAAGACCACGTGCTGCTGGTGGAAGGGGAGAAGAAATACGCCTGCAAAATCTGCTGTAAGACCTTCATGAACCTGACTGACTGCAAGAAGCACATTCGAGTCCACACGGGAGAAAAGCCCTATCCCTGCCCGAAGTGTGGCAAACGCTTCAGCCAGTCCTCCCATCTGTACAAGCACTCAAAAAACACCTGTTTAAACTGGAAAGATGATCAGTCATTCTCAGATACCCTGCTCTGACCTGCACTCGACTAACAGACGTTTAATGATTCGGCTTGAGAAAATGCCCTCTGTAAAATTCATTATTTATTACCCCACACACTTCACAAATCAAATTTTGATTTTATGTTACATGGAAGTCAATTAACTTATGTGATTCCTGTTTTTTATGTTCTCAACCATGCGTGTGATTTTGTTTCATTATTCCATGAACTGAAACAGATAAACTGTTGCCAAACTTCTGTGAATGCACTGAATATATTCTCAAACGGCTGTAAATAAATGATGCACTTGGTCATTTGTATTGATCTTAAGTCCATTTTGAGCATTTCTAAAACACATACAGAACATTACACTTAAACTACGCCAACAGTTTCTTTTATTCTTCAGACAAAACTTTTATTCTTTACACAAAACCGGAGTGTTGAACTGTTCTGTTCCAGTAGACATGGAGCGTTTACATCAGAGTGAAGTGCAGACATAATAAGTATAATGCTAACCTTTATAGCAAAAATGATATTTAGAACGAGAGAGATAACCAACCACATATTCCATTTGACACAAACATTAAGGTTTTTCAGTTCAACTGCAATTTTCCACTCAAGACTTTAGCATGAATGGTGTGTTTTGATAAGTAAGGTCAGTGAGTGCTGATAGTCTTCTCATTAGCCTCTTTTTCAAGAACTTCTAAACATCTCCGAAGTGTCAAAACCTTGCACTGAGCATTTCCTTATTCTATATTAAAAGTGCAATTCATTATTAACTAACAGGCTCATCAATCAAATTAACACTCATAGGATGTAAACATGTATCTGAGCATGTCTGAACTACATTAGTATTCTTACTATTCTTCTCATCCTTTCACATTGGAGACCTTTACTAGACCAATACACTGTTGTTATCTGTTATCCATGCAGCACCAGAGTACTGTAGGCACAGCGGCTCACTTCCAGGCACTAGTAGGTGAGTTCACTGGGCATGTCTGTGCCCTGTAGACCTCCCAGCAGGTTTTGAGCTGACAAAGCTGCCATGATGCCTCTTGTGGAATAGGTGGCACTGCCGATGTGCGGCAACACCACTGCACGACGAGAGAGGAGAGGAAATAAATGAAAAATATGTTACACAGTGGGAAAAAGAAGTTAAAAACGTGTGTACATATTGCACATCCTGTCTACTCACCGCAGTTTTTAAGTGTAAGAAGGGGGTGGTTTGTTGGGAGTGGCTCAGGTGTTGTGACATCCAGTCCAGCTGCAGCTATCTGCCCACTGCTCAAAGCCTCGTACAGATCCTCCTGGTTCACCACAGCTCCCCTAAAGTTAATAATTCACCACATCTTCATCCTTGTTAATTATAACTGCAAACACAGCTGGTGTCAACAACACACGACAACCACCTACACCCAAAGCAATGCTTTCCTCTGAACGCACACCCAGGTTTGCGCTGCTTTAGACGTCTACCTGCTCGAGTTGACAAAGACGGCTGTGTTTTTCATCTTGCTGAAGAAGGCCTTGTCACAAAGCCCCTGGGTTTCTGGCGTCAGGGAGCAGGAAACAACTATGAAGTCGCTCTCAGACACAAGTGTGTCCAGGGGAACTGGGGACGACGAATAAAAAGGGAAGAGAGGAAACAGATAATCAAATATATCTAGACCTGCAAACCAAAATCCCTTATTTTTATTAGATTGTTTAATAATAATACTAGATTTCCACATCTTCCTTCCTGTCATATCTATCTCACTGTGCTCTTAAAGGGACACTTCACCCATTTGCATTAAGCTTTGTATCGTCATATTTTTGAATGATCATTTGTGCACAACTTCCCTCATTTTCCCCCTGAGACGGGAGAAATACGGATTCAGTGTTGCACTTCCTGCTTCCAGTGATGTAAAAATTGTCATTTTGCATCACTGGAAGCAGGAGTCTCATATCTTTGTAGAGGAGAGACTACAAACACTCTTTTCTCGGTCAAATAGGCACCAAATTCAAAATTTATGTTACATTTCGACTACATATATAACCCACTTTCAATAAAGATTAATGTTTCCACGGGTGAAGTGCTTCTTTAATTGTTCCCCTTTCTCAGAATTAGTTTCTCTCCTTTTTCTTACCAAACTCTCCATTCACCTCAGCAGCGTGGGCCTTGGCTGTCCTCCCAGAGTACAGCAGCCTCTTCACTCCAAAGGGCACGAGTCTCCGAGCAATGGCCATGCCTGAACACAAACACAATCAGTTTTAGGGTCTATTTGTTTGATAAAATAGTGAATACAAAGTAAATGTATGTGTGTGTAAAAGTACCAATGCGTCCCAGTCCAATGACTCCCACCGTGCTGCCGGACAGGCCATAACCACACAGCCAGAGAGGCTTCCACGAGCTCCAGCCGCCACTGAGCGAGAAAGAAAAAGACCACTGTGTGACTCAATTACTGATACCCGTGGTTAAAGAGTTACAGGAACAGTCACAATCAGAGCTAGACGCTGATCTGTGTAAATGTGTAACTTGTTGAGACTGACTTTTTGACCTCCTCCACGCCCTCCGGCAACCTTCGAGCGGTGGCCAGCAGCAGAGCGACAGTCAGTTCTGCCGTGGCATCAGTCAGGACATCTGGAGTGTATCCGACACGTATACCGCTGTAGAAAACAAGCAGTGACATAACATAGAAGCCATGTTACATTTCATACTCCTAGTCGAAGGTTGGCTATAAAGTTAGGAGGGTTGTTGTTTGTTTTTAATGTAACTTACCGTTTTTTGATTTCGTCAAGAGCCAAGTGGTCAAATCCCACTGACAGAGTGCTGATTACTTTCAGGTTGGGCCCTGGAATCAGAAACACAAATCTAGACACTTGTACACTAAACAAACACACTATTTCTGCCATTTGATATGTTAAAAAGCTGAAACAATTTGTGGATCTGTTAAGGGACAGAAAATTAGACAATCAATTAATAATTTAATGCAATTTATTACACAGACAAAAGCAAAAAGTAGCTTAAAAAGTGTGGATTTGTTGCTTTTCTCTGTTTCATATCACTGTAAATTATAGTGACTATAAAAAGTATTCACCCAAACTTGGAAGTTTTCATGTTTTATTGTCTTAAAACATGAATTATTCCCAGTATTGTATGTTGTATGTAATCAGCACAGTGCCCCGGCTCTACCTGCAGCATCCAGGACCTCAGCATCGATCTTGTCCGACAGCAGACACAGCAGACCGTGAGCCCCCTGCACACCTTTGAGAAGCTCCTCTCTCGGCACAGGTTCATCCGAGTCCCACAGAGACACCTCACACCTGTTTCCATGGAGACAGAAAGGGACCAAAAAGCATGTGATTCAGACACACAGACTGATTTATAGGCGGTAACTCCCGCGCCTGCCACTCGCACGAGAAGAGACACGCACCGCACGCACGCACACACGACACGCCAGAGAGATGAGAAGAGAGAGACAGAGAGAGAGGTCACAACAGTCACACACTGGACTTTAATTTGGCTGCAGAAGCGTTTAACTGTAACAGGACACCGAAGCAAAGTGTGATGGCCGTCTTTAACGCGCGGCTGCGTGAGACTGCAACTGTCAACGGTCAGTCTGCAGCTAGGCAACAAGTCAAATAGCAGTTAGTTAGCAGTTAGTTAGCCGTTAGAAAAACCCCCGCGTACACTCCAGCCGTTGACAGGATCTTCATCCCCTCTGGCGGGATGCGCCTCGTCAGGAACACCTTCATGAGTTTACCGGCTGTCTGCATCCCGAGATAACCGCCACAGTGAAGCCCTGGTCGGACAGGAGACCGTGTGACTCTGTTGGGTAGTTGGTGGGGGAGGGAAGGAGGGAGGATGGACGTCTTTACGCTTCAACGTCAAGAACTACACTTCCCAAGCTCCTCCGCACATCAGGAAGTGCGTTTTGTAGCACTGCGCCTGCGCGGAGATAAGCGACTACCCATCGGTTGTGTCGATGTGTGTCTGTGTTAAAGGGTCTTTTATTGGCATTTAGAGCTAATTAAACATCAAAGATACAATTTACACAGTTCGTCTTGTCGTAGTGTTTGTTGGTTAGAATATCAGCTGTGGAAATTAATTGTAAAAAAGCTATGTTAACATGAATTAATCATTAGTTTATTAACACTTGGCTCTATCTTGACTTGGCTCGTTTTATTTAGTCATTTATTTGAGGGGAATTTGTGAATCTCCCGAAGCATCTCATCCTAGTAAGGGCATGTTTACGTTTCTCCTCTGATTTCGCTTCCTGGGATCATGTAAAAAATCAAGGAGCGGACAACATCGTAACACCGACGCATGCGCACTGAGACTAATAATACACATGCCACAGCAATACAGTGGTGGTGGGTAAATGACTGTGAAATGAATCATACAACATTGAGTAAAAGTACTAAAGTATCTGCATTAAAACAAACAAAGTACCAAGAAGTTGTTGCAGAATGGTCCATTCAGAGTGGTGTATTGGGTTATACTTACTTTAAAGGTGGGGCTTATTTTAATGACTTTATATAGACATACTGTAGTGGAAGAAGAAGTGCAGTATTTTATTCCACCCTAGTATAGAAGTAGAAAGTATGAAGTAGACATTGAACTACTTAAGAACAGTCTTATATATATACTGACAGTACAAGAGTACACCACTGGAAATATCAGCCTGTAATAAGTGACTCTGCATATTAAGCTTTTACATACTACAAATGAATGAATTAGTTAATAAATCCTGACGCACTAATAGACTATTAAACTCCTACAACAGCCTTTAATTAGTTAATAATCAGACCACCTGGCTACAGCTTCACCAAGCAGCTCACACGGTAACAATTGTGACAAATGGCTTTTAAAATCTAGCTCAGTCTAATGTGTTTTTAACGTATGTAATGTACTGTTTTATATTGTTTCGCTGATCGATGTCCTTGTATGCGCAGTGAGTATTTAGAAAAGAGCTTTTAAATAAAATGTATTATTATTAGTAGTATTATTATTATTAAAAAAATATATATATCACCAAATATACCACGGACACTGGTCATGTTGCTGTTTAAGCGGCGCTGATAATATATAATTTAACTTTTTTACGGCCCACTGCGGGTACACAGCGCATGACGTCAGTGTCCGCTCCCTCAGTGCGCCGTGCGCCGGGCCGCCTCGCACCGGGCCGCACTGCTGTACATGGTGAAGTCCTCACCGTCGACAGCAGCGGAGGGCGGACTGAGGAGCGCTCCCTACTTGAGGAACAAACAAGAAGCCGCGTTAAAAAGCAGGAAATTCGACTTGGGCTCTGATAAAAGGTGAGAAATGTGTCTTTTTTTTTTTTTTTTAAAGGCTTTTAAAATATATACAAACATTAATGTCGTGGACACAGTGGTTGGTGTCATCGACAGCTGGTAGCGCGATAACAGGTTTGTTGTTTGTGGTTTGTTGCAGAGACGAACCGAGGTCTTTTTTTTTTTTTTTTAGCGTGTCAGTCAGGATCAAAACACTTTATTTATTTATTGTTAATGATTACTCATCTGTCATAAGTCGGTGTGTGATGTGCATGCAGCGAGCTGAAGACACATCACACATATCTAAAGCTTAAAGCAGGCGTTACTGATACCATGTTGATGGTCAGCAGTGCACAGAGTCGAGAAACCCTCAAGGGGAGATTTTAGTGCAGACATTTGTCTCATTATGCTCACTTCCGGTTACTGGTATGTCATTTTTTTATATTCTTACACTTTAGACGCGTCCTTATCTGCGAGACTGCGCTTTGTTAACAGTCGTTACAACCTATATATTCAGCTCAACCACAATACGAGATAGGCTTTGTGTCTTTTCTACCTGTTTGTTTTTATTTTTTTGTGTTTGATTTTCTGGGATCTCAGTTGAGTAAACCTTTATAGATTAAAATATCTGATTTCTGCTAATCTACAGAGTGGAAATAACAAGATACTTCACACATTGATTGACACATTGATCCTGTGAATCCAGTTATATCATTGGTGGCCCAATACAACCAGATATGACAAAACCTTTGACTATATATATATATGTTATTTAACCCTACTTTATATATTTATATATATATATATATATATATTCTTTAACCCTACTTTATTTTTACTGGGTTAAACAATAAAATTACTGTAAAAAAAAAAAAACAACAACTGGCAAATCCTCAGACCTTTCTTCAGGAATCAAACCCTAATATCCATGTGTCATTTCAGAAAAAAATACCAGCGTGTCGCCCCACCCACCGCACACTTTTGGTGGAGGAACTTGTGGAGCCTGTCGGAGCTTGCCAGCAGCATACATACCTGTAGAGTAGTGCAATGGCTCTGTTGACCTTGCATAGGATCCCATCCATCTCCAGTCCAGTAAGTTCAGGCATGCCTGTGCCTTGTTGTTCACAGTTGTTGACATGTTGCATCCTATACACAGACGTAATATTGTTTAACTTTTGCTTTACAAAGAGCTCATTCATGCTGAACCCTACAAGTTTTGCATGAAAAGCAGTTGTTCCCGATTGTGGATATCAAAGCTGCATTTGCCAGAATGATAAACAAGCTGTTTTGTTTTCCAGTTGCCAGGGATGTGATTGCATTGGTTACTTACTAATTTACCACAGATATAGTATCATCAAACTGATTGAGCTCCTGTTCACCTTCATTACAGTGATATCAGAGAGTGAGTGGATCACCTTCTGTCTGTCAAACTGCTCTCCGCCACTGTAGTTCTTTAATGCTAGGGCTGTGCCGAACGTCATGTTATAACATTCAAAGCTTCTTTTGGTTTGCAAATGCAGCTTCAGATGTTTGCCGTCATATTTTATGTCATCAACCTAGAAAAAAACATCCTCAATTTGAATGAAGTGATTCATTGGATTAAATGAGTTAGTCTTTTTTCAAACCACCTGTCTTTAATGAATATAACTCAACAGTTTCCTCAACATAATTACGTGTAGGGAGCAGCCTAATCCGATAAGGGCTTAAATTAATCATTAAATTCAGATACAGAATATGATTGTGTTTTTTTTTTAGCAATTTAAGTAATTTACTGTAATAATGTTCTAGGCAAAATAGGCTTGTTATTGTGGTTATAAATGTAATTTATGGTGTTGTTAGACTGCCTGTTAATACAGGTGCTGGAGTGAAAATGTTGTTTTTTTAAAGTCTAAATGCCAAAAAATATGAATTTAAGCAGAATTTTTTATTAGATAAAAACATGTTGTACATTTTGGAAATAACTACATCTTTTCTCAATAAATTTTAACTTTTGGATTTTACAATACTAAGGAGAGAAAAAGTTTGGATCAGGGTCAGTATGAAACAATCCTACGCAGCTGTGGAATCTAGTTCTACAAATAGTATGATACTAATAATATTAGTGTAGCCTAATCTTTATCTGCAGCTGTGCAGAATAAATAGACATGCAGCATATGAATGTTGATTTAGAATTTGAATGTTAAGAATGAAGCTTTGAACTGTTCGTACAGCCCTGTTTAATGCACACATATAAACACTACAATCGGCCTCTGTCTTCAATGTTATCTCCTCTCATTCTGTCACTCTATCATTAAGTTTATTTAACTTTATGTCCAATGCTTAACTTCTCTTCTGGTGTTTGTCATTGCCAACTAAACCATAAATGACCTGACTGTGGGTCCAAGTTTCATTTGTTACATATCTTTACACAAAATCTAATCACTTTACTATCTTAACTTGTGTTCTCTCCTTTTTTTTTTCTTCAACCCTCATCGTTCCTCTCCTGGCTCCTGCTCACTTCTCCTCTTTAATTTGTTTTTTTTTGTTTTTTGACTCTGTCTGGACTTGTCAGTTGCGTAACAGGTAATGTTACTGTCTCAAGTTTCTTTCTCCGTAAACCCCTGTTACTACTGCTTCTTTTCTCTCTCTCTCTCCCTCTCTAGTTCCTTTCTCCCTCCGCTCTCTTGCATTGTATTTCCCTTTAATTTCTTATCCTTCTATAATTTCACTGCCAGTATCTTTGTTTTTATCCCGCCCCCCTCCTAGTGCGCGCTTCCCTGTGCTTACACATCACTCTTTGTGTCTGTCTCCTCACATCACTCTTCCACTGCACCTTATCTGTGTTGCACCACATTTCACCCGAGAAATTACTGAACATTTTTTTCTAGCCTTTTGTGCCCACACTTTTCAGTAGAAAGACATCACACACACCCAGCCTCCAATGCTCCCAGGAAGTTTGTTACAGCGTTTAAACACTTTATCAAGTTTGAAACGTGCCCTTTTGGGAGCATTAGAAATAGTGTGCAATGTTTTCTCATGTTAATTAGTGCAGTTTGTTCTTTGGGGTGTGCATATGTAAACTCTTTTTCACAATTAGAAACAACCTGCACAACAGCAATGTTACAGTCGATTGGTAAAGTGGAATGTATAGTACAGTTATAATCATTAAAACAAATTATTCTTGTTGAGGCTTGTGATTTTATTTTATTTTTTAAGGATGAAACCCTCCAAAGAAGAGGGAGACTTCAGAAAAGGTAGATGTACGCCAGTATTATTGTTCATCTAATTACAATCCTACCAAAATGATTCCCTGTTAGTAGATTACAGCAGCATTATACTAACTGACTTCTATCCCTCTGTAGGGAGAGCTTTGCCCTCGTGAAGGGGGCTGTCCTTCTGCTGGAAGATGGTGACAGGGCAGACATTAATGAGGAGACTGCTCCCGCTCCAGCGTCTCTTGTGAAGGAAGGCGATAGAGCGCCAGACACACGCAGCAGACAGCTTCATGCCATGGTGGAACTTCTCAGACCAGAAGATACCATCAAGCTGGTGAGGCGTACCTCGTGTTTACATGCATGTCGAAAATCAGATCAGGAAAACCTGACATATGCTACACAGAAAGAATGTTTGTGAACTTCCATCAACACGTTTAATCACACAGTTACAACATCAGTGCGCTCAGTTCCTTCATATATGGAGATATCTAGCTATTTTCACCATCTTACGATCTCCTAGCATTATGGGTATCTTGTGATATACACAGGATTGGTATTGGTATTGATACTGAAAGTACTGCCTATATTCTATTTAATCTATTCCTGATTTTATATACTTACTACTAATTATTTATTTTTTAAGTTTCTTTACTTATCTGTACTTATTTCTGTCCTTGTGCTGCTGTAACACCCGATTTTCCCTCAATAAAGAATTATTTCATTAAGTGGATTAGGTATCTGCAACGCTCTGCCCAATCCAGTTTCTTTGTTAATGTCATTTTAAAATAAATATTTCTGCTAACATTCATACAGTCACAGCAGATTGCCAAACTCAGTTTTTAGTGCCACTGCACACCTGGGACCATGATACCAAAAATAATTCCAATGAATTCCAATGCAGTGAGGTTCACAGATTTTAGGACATAAAAGATCTCCGGTATTAGATTGTTACTCGGTCACAAGAGAGAATAACGTGGACAGTTCACCTCTAACATTTGAGAGCACTTCTGACTATTGGAGTAATTAACTTCTTCTGTATTGGAAATGTTGCATGCATTTAGCAGAAACCAAAGGCAATAACATCTCACACACTTTAACGTGTTTGTGATTGACATTATTATAAGACGTAGGGGGACAGTGTGCTGTGGATCGGACACATGAGATTTAAAAAAACCAACGCATTCCACTTAAAGCCCAGTCTTGAGATAGACCAGTATGTTTTGCAGGCAGCTGCTGGATTCATTTCAGCTCTGAAAACATTCTTGATATAGGTAATCCATCACTCGGAACATTTAGTGAGATTTATTTTTTGTTGTCAGTTTTGTTATTATTGCCTGGTAATACAGCTGAAGTCATGAAAAAAAAAACAGATACATAAGATAGCAAACAATAAAAATATTACATTAAATAATTTATTGTTCAGCTGTCAGCGCTTAAAGTCATGGTTTAAGAGCTTCCCACAAGAACTTGAACACGCAACTTTACTTTCAGCTATATTACCATGCATTAGTTATATTAAAGTAATAAAACGATGTGCGATCAACTGCCCAGAAATGTACTGAAACCAGAGGCTGTGTTAATGGCAGAAAAATAAATCTAGCAATCCAGGCTATGACATGGTAATTGTGAGGTAATGGGCGCAAACATACAAAAGAACAAAACTGTGGTCCTTTCAGTGGACTATAGCCAGTATCTGTGTTTCCCTGCAAACAAAACATTTACTTCCTTGATTTGATTTTCCCAGGAAGGCCAAGGAAAATATTATGCACTGTGTGTAATGGGACAGGTTTATTTGGTTTAATGGGTAACTTCAGACTTCAGAGGAAACTGCAACATGTAAAGAACATTCATTTTACTTGGCCTCACTCCTCATGCCCTTCTCCTTTCTGTCTCTCACATCCTCTTGTCCCCCTGCCACTCTCGTCCTCTGCGCTCTCGTCATGCAGGCGGTGCAGTTGGAGTCAGTCAGCTCGATCAGAGTCAGGTATCTGATCGTTGTCTCCACCCTCGGCAACAAACAAGAGAGCATCTTGCTGGGCATGGATTTCCCCAACTCAGACAGGTGTGTGTAACCAAGATGCTGGTGTACAATGTCACAAAGAGCGCACAAGATAAGATTTCCACTCAGTTAGTAATTTCTGGTTTAGCTTTGACAATTTAAACTTCCTTCCTTGTCTTATGTCTCTGTGTCCTCCCTGCTTCTTTGCAGTGATCAGTGCACCATCGGCCTGGTTCTGCCAGTATGGAGCGACACACAGGTGTACCTGGACGGAGATGGGTGAGAAATATTTAAAAGAGGGTTTGAGGGTTTGAAATTGTAAAAGCACAAGCAAGGAGTTTATGAGGCTGCAGCACAGACGGTGAGGCCTGATGTCTGGGATTCTGGCCAGAGATAATGTGAATGAGTAATGTCTCTATTTTTGGAGCAGAATCATTCTCCATAAATTACAACTGCTCCTATCACTCAGTTAAACCCTTACATAAGCATGGAGATCATGTGTTTTTGCAGTGAAATGAAAGTTGGCTTCTTTCTTTGTGAGTATGAAAAGGTCAGTGAGAGTTTAGCTGCTGAAAGCTCTGATAAGTATACTCCCTGGTTGCACTGTGGTGCATCCAAAACCCCAAATGTCCACTCCAGCTCACTTTTAGTGTAAATTTTAATGACACGGGATTGTTAGCAACTGGCTGTAATCTGATTAAATGGTTGAGGCTGTGGCTTGTGGCTACTCATTACAGTGGTTGTCATAAATGTGGCAATCTATGCTCAGAGGAGTGAGAAGTGAGACTTAGCAGCTCTAGGAAACAGTCCGGCTAACGCGGTGTAGTGGCTCTTCTGTCGACTGCTGTGTTTGAACTAATCTGCTGACACATGCCGAGTGTCATACAAGACACTTCGATTGGCTGCCGTTTCACCCCAGCATGTTCACCCTCATCACACCTCCAACTGTGCTAATTTCTCTCTCTCTCTCTGTCCTCACATTTTCATTCTTTCCTTCCGTCACAAGAACCATCACTAATTTACACTGAATAATCTCTCTGTCTGTCCAGCAATCAGTATTAGTTCCTCATTCCTCTCTGTCTTCTCCTTATCTTCCCCTGACTTAATTATCGTAGCTCATATTTCTGTCCTTTTTTTTCCATAGTGGTTTTAGCGTGACGTCAGCTGAAGAGACCAGAATTTTTAAGCCTGTTTCCATGCAGACCATGTGGTGAGTGAAAGAGCTGCCACCCATGTGTTAATCTTAAAACATTAATGGCACCCAGCATATCACTTCCTAAATTGCCTCATCAACGACTGCATGACTTTCCGTCGCTCTAAATCTTGAGACTGCTATAAACTTCTGTAGCCTCTCTCACAGACTTTTACTGTCCTCAAATATACGCTATCTTCTGTCCTCCCCCTCCCCACTGCTGTAAGGTCAGTGCTGCAGGTGTTGCACGGCTGCTGTGAACGGGCAGTCAAGGCAGCGGTGATCCCAGGCAATGGCCTTGAGTGGGCCCAGCACTACCACCAGCACATCGAGTCAGACCGCTTCTGCCTCAACGAGTGGGAGGCCATGAACGACCTGGAGTCGGTTCGCAGAGACAGTGATGGACAGACGTAAGTACAAGTACCTCGAAACTAGTTAGGTGTAGTACTTGAGTGAATGTATGTAGCTGAAAATTGAAGTTGTCATCCGTTACACGTCAGCTAAGTTTCACTTTTTCTTTGCATGGGAAGCTCGGCAGACAGAGTTTCCAACGAGGGACTGATAAAAGAGCACCTGAGAGACATCATGAGGACGGAAGATCTCGACAACCTTACGTCTAAAATGGTAACACATCTGGGCAGATGTAAAGAGGAAGTTGGCTTACATGAAGTCAGAGAACTACTAGAGTGGAGAACGTGTGCCTATATAAGTAGATCTTTCCTTTGCTACTTTAGGTGCACTCTGCCCTGGAGAACAGAATTGGCTTTGACATGAGACCTTATAAGGAATACATTGACAACGAGATCCTGGTCACCATGGCTCAGATGGACAAACCCTCCAAAATATTTGACTACCTTTACCTGGTGAGTGATTGCTCAACTACAAAGAGAAAAAGACAAAAACAGTATTAAGCTTTATTTTACCACCATAGTGAGAAGTCTTTCTCATGCTTCGGTCAGTAAACCAACGGAAGTGTGCTTTCACCAGGATGTTGTCATGTGACTATAACTTCCCCTTTGTGGGAGATCTGTGTTGACAGTGATAGGGAAGGCGACTCTGTAGGCCCTTTCCTTTTTGTCCTCTGTGACCTCGATTGAACCTCTTTCGTTATCTGGTTTCAGGGCTCCGAGTGGAACGCAGCTAACTTTGAGGAGCTGCAGAAAAACAAGTCAGTGTGTTCACCTGCAACATTTTCCATAGCTCTGTGTATTGTTGTTGCCCATTTCTATTTCCCATTGTCTCATGACATGGGCAATACTCAATTGTTTGCTGTGTTTTGCTGAGTCACCGCAGTGTCTCTAAGGTTGTGTCTGTTTGCTTTTCAGTGTGGGCTACATTCTGAATGTGACGAGAGAGATTGACAACTTCTTCCCAGAGTCCTTCACCTATATGAACATCAGAGTGTACGATGTGGAGGCCACCGACCTGCTCCCTCACTGGACAGACACATACAACTTCATCAACACTGCAAGGTAGTCCTGAAACCCCGAACACATCGGAAGACACTTAAAATCCAAACTTTTGAAGAAGCATTCGGCAGTATTTAGCAGATTTCATTAACCATAACACATTTAGATTTGTTCAGTTTCTATATATAAATATAAAACTGGACCCAAAGACGGTTAACTTGGCACATAGACTGGAACAACAGGGAAACAGCTAGCCTCGCTCTGCCCAGTCGTAACACAATCTGCCTGCCAGCACCTGTAAAGCACACTAATTGCTGGACTATTTCTTGGCTCTCAGCAGTTGCCAGGCAACCAGCCGAGCCAGGAAGTTACTGTAAAGCCAAGTAAAATTTTATTCATATAGCCCAAAATCACAAATCACAATTTACCTCAGGGAGCTTTACGGTCTGTGTTTAACCCTCAACTTGGGGAAAAATCACCCCAAAAAACCTGTAATAGGAACACATGGAAGACATCACATTATAGACACCTTTTGATGACACAGTTTCTGATACATGAAGTTAATTAGTTAGTTTTTGAGGTGCTGGTTGGCAGATTTTTTTTAACCTATGGACAGAGCCAGGCTAGCTGTTTCCTCCCATTTCCAGTCTTTCTGCTAATCTAAGATAATTAGTTTGCTGACTTTAGTTTCATATTTAGTGTACACACAAGGGTCACATCAGTCTTCTCATCGAACTCTCTGGCAGAAAGTTCATTAGTGTTTTTTCTCAAAATGTTGAACTATTCCTTTACATCATGTTCTTTGTTCCTAGCTTTGCCTGACCACCAGTTTTGCAGTTTTGAGCTGTCGCACTGTGTGATTGATGTCTACAAAGTCACTGGGAAATGTTTAAATGCATTATCCAAAGAGAGTAACACGCTTCTGTAGTTTTTTTGTTGTTCTAGCAGGATGTCTAGTCACTTCCACTGTTTGTCAAGGAAAGTCCTTAAACCACTGAAGGAGCTTCTCTTGATCTCTTTGTATCGCAGGAAGAGCGGACAGGCGGTGTTGGTGCACTGTAAGATGGGTGTTTCTCGCTCTGGGTCCACGGTGATTGCCTACGCCATGAAGCAGCAGCACTGGTCACTGGATGTGGCATTGGGCTATGTTAGAGATCGCCGCTCCATCGTCAAGCCCAACGAGGGCTTCATGAAGCAGCTCCAGACCTACAACGGCATCCTCAACGCAAGGTCAGGCATTGCTGACATGAAAATTACAAGACAATGACTATCTTAAGAAGATATCAACCATTGTCGAGTTATTTTTCAGATATTGATTTGTGGGCTAATGTTCCTCTGTCACTCCAGCCAACAGCGTCACAGCGCACTCTGGAGGCGAAAGTCTAGAGAACAAAGACAAAAGTCAGTACGCAAGGAGGAAGGAGGGGAGGAAGGAAAGCCAGAGGAGGAAGATGAGGAAGAGGAGGAAGAGGGGGAAGAGGAGTACGATGAGGGACTTGACGAGTATGACGACATGGAGAGTCCAGATGAAAAAGATTATTCAGAGGAAGACACAGAGGTAATTAGTTACATCCGTTTAATGTTATTAGCATTTTAAATCTTGCAGATTGTCTTTTTTTTAAATCTTCAATTCTTTTATCTTTCCAAACAAAGCAGGTGTTTGTAGGGCACAACCCTCAGCCTGATACCAACCAGAAACCCGGGCAGACAGAGCCCCCAGGAGTCAGCCCTGTTATCACAGTAAATGAACCAGACAAGGTGAGCAGGCTGTCTCACACTAATTCACTCACTCGCACTACATCTGAAGCTGTTTAGCTTCATGTGTGTCTTTATGTGCAGATCTCGCTCCTTCACTTAATGTTTGGAGTTTTGTTTTTTCTTTCTGTCTCAAGGTCGCTTCGAGTGTTAATCGCAGTGGCAGAATGAACCTCTTCTCCCTCATGCAATCCATTAGCGAACTAGATGATGTGGATAAAGGACAGGTACGTGATGCCGAGTGGCAGTCTCTCTTTCTCTTCATAGTGTAGCTGTTGCACACACAAATGGCTGATTTGTAACTTGTGGAAATGTGCAGGGGCCTGATGTTGAAATGAACTCTGGAAAGAGTGGTGAGATACTTGGACCGCTGTAATCACTGCTGATATTTTGACAAGCATATCAGTTTAGTCAGTACTTAAAGTGCAAAAGTTTAATCTCACTTTTTGATTAAAAAGTGGATATGAGTTTTTTTTATCAATAATGCCAGAAAATTAAATTTTTCATCATGATTTAATGTTGAAAAACTGTCAAAATTATAGTTCAGCAGCGATTCTCGCTAAATGTAGCCGCTCTATAAGCTACTCTTCCACGTCTTTGTTCTTTCCAAAGATTCCTGGCAGTCCGAGGCGGAGACGTAGCCACGGGCGAAGGGGTCTGATTCACCAGAGAGCATATGTGGATGTTTCACCTGAACCCCGAAGCCTGCCGGACGCCGGTCAAAGCAAAACCTAAAGAGATCAAAAAGATGGAAGGGCAGGGAGTTACAGGAGGGAGAGTGACCTATAAAGGAGGCAGAGAGGAAGTTCTGAAGGAGACAACACCCGAAGGAAAGTGTGCTCCGGTAACATGCCAAGGTTTTTTTATACACTGATACGCTCTGGCTTTATATTTTAGAATATTTAAATGATGAAAGTTTTAAATTATGTTTTGCATATAGCATTATTATTATAACTGATGGTTCAACGTTAAAAAGGATCTTGTTGCAGTATTGCTATACCAGTGTAAGCCAGGATATCTGATGGTTAAAGTTATTGTCAGTGTATATTGTTGTATTATCATAATATTTTTTCAGTGTTTTTAGAGCATATCTTGCCACATATACGGTCTCTCCCTCCATGTAGCGATCTGCCCTTCTTCAGTTCTCACGTCACCACTCCAGAGTCGATATCTATGCAATTAGTTCTTTTTTTTTTTATTTCCTCTTTAACTATGAGGCTGTATGCTGCCAATCCAAGGTAGACGGTTTCAAATGTGTGGCGTATTCTCTCATCAGAAGACGTTATCATTGTTCACTGAGGGGAGGATTTCACTGTATCCAAGCTGTGCATTATGGACCAAGTCAGGGCCAGTTCTATGGCACAAACCTGTCTGCCAAACAGTTTATTCCAGTGTGCCAATAGTATATTTAACTGCAAATCTATATGTCAGTATGTTAAGAACCAATGTCCCCCCTTTTATTTTTATTCCCTCTATTTAAACACCGGGACTTTGAGTGCCTTCAACCTGAGAATGAAATATGAACTCTATGACGGTGTTTTTAAATGTTTTTACTATGACGTGATGGCTGCATATTGTATCTATCTTTGCTGTTTCTCACTTGGTTTGATTGCAGTATAAATGTGACTTCCCAAGGTTTTTGCATGTATGCGTAACGCATATACAGCAGCACATAATTGCTGATGACCTGGGTGCATGCGTTTTTTCTACCAACATGTGAGAGCAAAATGTTCAGGGTTTTCTCATGTATTTATATTGACACTTAAAGGGTCGACATAAATTATTCAGTATACTGTTTTCAGACTTCTGGTCACTAGATGCTGATGTGAAATATTCTTATTTCATGCTGGTGTTACTTTTGATCCAGTGAAGCCCCAGCTAAAGCTCACTCCATGAAACCCGCATGCTCACCGTTAAAGAAAACACGCACTTTATAATCCCACAACACACACTGTTCCCACAGCCTGAGCCAACGTCACACTGTATTCTGAGTTAAGAATTGAATACTCTTGTATCTATGCCTTGTTGTGTTAAGCTCGCCACTGTCTGCACCTCTCTCGTTTACAACAAGCCCTATGAGTGACAAATAAAATGATTATACTCTTACCACCAACCCCTTTGTTTCTTGATTAAATAATACACCAGGGAAGAACTGAGTCTGTTCAGAGACATTTTATCCACAAGAGAAAGCACAGGGACAAGCAACCTTACTCTCATCACTCATTTTGATTCTCTTTATATTGTCCTTCACTGTAGCGCTCGTCGTCTTGATATCAGTACAGTCATAATTAACAAAAGAGCAGAGAGCAAGGGATACACAGGTGTAATAAGATGACATCTAAATTCAGGTACTGATGTATTTCCTCCTGGGTTCACTGAGAACGACTCCTCCCTCTTTCATTGCTGCCCTGAAAGATTGAACCTGTGAACGAGAGAGATAAATATGAAGCAGGTGACGACTTAAAGGGGAAAAAAGGACAATTCCAACAGCAGATGTAGCTGGATGTACTCACAGCATCAGAGCGGTATGTCCAGGGAATCTCCCTGTACACCATCCTGGTGATGCCGGCCTGCTGGCATCGCTGTGCCAACACCTCGCCCACAGCCTGACACGCTGCCACACAGGTCGTGGAAGGCAGCTCCCTCTTCAGGGCCCACTCTTTGGTCGAACAGGTAAGCACGGGGTCAGGTGAGCTGCTGGAGAACACCTGAGCCGTCACATGGTGCTGGGAGCGAGAAAACTGCAACCTGCAAGGACGAAACAGAAGTGAGAGAGGTCAGAGGAATTTTAGATCTGCAGGATTAAAAGCTGATACTGATTTTCTTTAAGCACTGGTCTCCTTTGAAAATAACATTTCAGTCTCAGTGGGACTTAATCAGTTTACTACAGGCTAGGGAAGAGCAACACAATATGTTCATTTAAAAAGAAAAGTTGTAGTGATTCACCATTTTAGTGCCCAAGTTTACACAACATCAGCTTTCTACCAAAAAACATTCTCCAAACACAGAAAGTGACAGTCCGGTGTGATGGACGTCTACTGGGAGATTTAACACACTCAGCTATTAGGATGCACTAAAACCTGACAGGAGATTGTTGTTGTTGACATTTTATACAAACACACACACAGAGACAGACAGAGAGACACACAGAGAGA